CCTACACCCGAACCAGGGTCCAGCTGGACCCGCCGTTCAATGAGCCCGGTGACATTAGAGCTTTGTGGGAAGATGTCACCGCTTGGTGCCGTTAGGGCAAGGGGGGGATTTTCCCTTTATGGAAGCCACGAGCTAAAGCGAGCCGAATAAACCCCATTACTGGGGTCAAAAGCTGCCAGTCTCAGAAGATCCTCCCCTCTTACTCAAAGCAGATCAGACATCATTACAGATCAGCTGCCCGCAGACCCTGCCAGCTGTCAACACGTGACTGTGTGTCTAACAGTGCTGGGTCAATGTACTTACTGTAAGTTAAAACAGGGGATGATTCGTGTTTGGGATTTAGGATTGTTGACTGTATGACATTTGCCCTCGTCTGGGTGTTTGACGTTGACCCTGGTGTCACTTTCTCCCGGGAAACTGGCCTGGGAACACAGAAGGGACTGTCACACCCTGATTAGCATCCCCTGCCTGCCTCCGAAACAAAGACTTCACCAAGGATGGAGAATTTACTCCCACGACAATAACTGATTGGTGACTGAGATATTAAGAATCATTTGTAGTGAAATGGCATTATTATTAGGGTACTGCGATGGGTTGGGGCACCGTCCTGGGTTATATCCCACCTTGTGCCCGTAGCTTCCGGGATCGGCTCTGGACCCCATGACCCGGCGTAGGATAAGGCAGGACTATTCAAGTCACAGTCCTCAAGGTCCGAGCACTGCTGTTTTTCCAGCCTTCCTTTACCTGTCAGTCAGGTGTGAAGCCTCTGACTAATCAGAATCGGTAATTATTGAACTAACTACCTGGGAGAACAGAAAACAAGGCCTGGATTTGGAATAGGGCGCCAGATTTGAGGGACCCTGGGATAACGTATGGAAAATAGATGGATGGAGGGTGGGTTACTATTGTGAACTGACATCTGTAAGTTTTCAATGGTGTGTGTGTGGATTAGATTTATATTAGATGGGGGGACCAGATGTCCCCCACAATGTGATAAAAACCTGTTATTTTGACCTTGTGGGGACCGCTTTTCAGGTCCCCACAAAAATCTGTGAATGCAATCAAAAAATTAAAAACTCCAAAAATCTTATATTTTATTTGGTTACTTATGGTTAGGGCTAGGGCTTGGTAGGGGTTAAGGTCATCATGTTAGGAATGGGGTTTTGCCCATAGAAATGAATGAACGGTACCCACAAAGTAATAATTGCAATCCTGAGTGTGTGTGCGTGTATGCGTGTGTGTATCCTGCGATGGACTGGCCTCCCATTCATGGTGTACCTCAGCCTGGAGTACTGTGCTGTCCAGAACTGCCCCCCCCCGGCCCCACGCCCATGGATAGATGGATAGACAGGTAAACAGCAATATTTGAATTCTTCCCTGCAGCCATAAGGCTAAATAAATCAGACCACTACCTGCGTGAAAATACATCTCTGCAATCGGAGCAGAGATGACAAAAGCACAAAAACACATATTGCGATGTGACCCAGTTACCCCATAACAACGGAGGCGACAAGAAATCCTTCATAAAAAGGAGATCGGTCACTTCTGCGGCTTTCCGGGCACGTCTGGGAAGCAAGAACGTATGGGCAGTAAATCTGCTGTTCTTGGGTGATTAAACGAGCAAAAGGCAAAGAAAGGGCAATTAGTGAGGCACTTCTTATTCTGAGAATTGAACACGTGAAATGTAAACGCAGGAGCGTTATGCAGAGGCTGCCTTTCTCGCTTGAAGTTTCTGTGGCAGCGCGGATGGTTTACCCATGCGTGCCAGCTGGGGATTGAGTGATGAGGTCATCATCTGTCTTTGCCCCTGTCCTACGCCCATTTCTCAGCCTGGCTTCAAAACGACAAATGTGCCTTAAACGACTGGCGCAAACGGGCCCATGTGCCCTGTAAAGGGTGGCCGTCATCACGGCATGAAACCAGGGGGGTTAACTATCAGGACCGGCTGGCCTGCGCACTGGGATTTGGGAATACAGCTGGACGCAGTTCAATATGCTGAAATGTAATTAGTAATTCATTAATTAGCAATAATTAAAAGAATTGAATTAATCCAATTTGGATGAATTCCACTGTTATAGGGATTTTGGTGTCTTTGTTGGCGTGATTAAATTTTGGATTAAAGATCCAGCACTAGATCTATCAATCCATTTTCTCTACTGCATATCCTGGGAGAGCCCTGCATGACAAGCACGAGGCACGGTCTAGGGGGAACGCAAGTTCTAGTGCGATATAGCTGATGAAGTGTTTGGTCATTAAATTTATGGATCTCAATAGGAGAGAGCTATGCACAACCCCGTCCAGTCTGAAGATGTTTTGCTAGACCAGCTGCGGTTGTATCATGTTAATAATGATAGTTGGAGGATTTGTGTCTCTCCATTGACAGGTAAAGCGCTGTATAACACAGTTAAGTGAGAGGAGAGAACAGTTCTCATCATGTAACATTTGAAGAACACATAGTGAATGGGTGTAACTGTTGGGCGGGTTGTCATGTTGACGCAGCAGTTCCTCGCCATCCGCCGTTCCTGGACGTTGTCGCCACTTTTAATCTCTCCATGAGGTTTTCTGAGCAGTTAGGGTTACAGGCTTGGAAGTAGAACTGCAGAGAACAAACCGGACACTGGCAGAATTTTCTGTCACAGCGAGGATCCCTCTGGGGACAACACGATGCCACTCACTGAAGGTTGGCAGCATTTTCAACGGTCAGTGCAGGGCACTGTGAGAGAAGGGGCCAAACCCTGGTGCCTGAAGCACGGAGATATTTGAGCTCAGTACCCAAATATGGGGATGGTTAGCCTTGGGCTTTGGGTAAAGTCCAGGAGTCCCCAATTATTTATCTCCAAGGGCCAAGTTCCATCAGCAACAGAAAGCCAAGGTCCACTGCATCTAGTGATAAATTTAGCCGATTGGGTTGGACCTCCAACCAGTAAAATTTGAGAGTGGGGGGGGGACAATCACGCATTCCAAATTCTATTGAAATTCCATTATATTTGGTTCCACCAGATAAACACACGTTGCCCTAGAAACAGTTGCTACAAGTTTCAGACAGAACCTCAACTTTATTAGTCGTGACTTTTGATGAATGCGAGATATTTTGCGTGGGGGGGAAACAACAGTTTTGGTTATTAACCACAATAACCACTGACAAGTTTCACGGAGTTGCAGCCATATTATCAGTGTGTTGTATAGGTGTGGTATGAGGTTATGTTTCTGTCTTCTGCTTGGGGGTTACCGGGACTCAGCAGAAATCTTGCTGTAGCTACATCCGGGCTTGGCGAGAGGCCACCACTGAATCACTGTAGCAAAGTGGGTACGTTCAGTCCTCTGCCCGGCAGAGGTGGGAACGTTCATCCAGGTCAGAGATGCTGGATTTGTCCCAGTACGGCCATTAAGGACAGAGGAGGGGGTAGTGCCTGTCATGCTGGTGTGGCCATGAGTAAATAATAAATGACGGCGTGCCGTGGTACGAGCGTGGCCTCGGGCGTGTGGTGAGCGCCGCTTACACGGTGTGAAAATCAGGCCCGCATGGGGCCTGCTGGGAAGACATGGGGCCTGCAGATTTTTAATAAAGTCTGACTTACAAGGAAAATAGTTGAATTTATCTTTATTAAACTGTCAATGAACTCAACAACTTGGTTGATGAAAGATAATTTGCATGTATCCCATTTAGCCCCTGTGTGGTTAAACGTGATGTAAAGCATAAGTCTGAACGGTACATGCAGCAAACTGGGGTGGAGACAGGAGGGCTCAGCCAATCAGATGTGACCTGATGTAAACGAGCCAGCTGGGCTCCTCCCCCTCAAACAGGGCTACATAAGTAGGCAGGATACAGGATGAGAGACAGCAGAGGAAACTGTGATTGCTGTGTTTTGGTCTTTACAGAGGGTCATAGACCTTAGGTTTAGGTCGTGTTGTGATTGGGGTTCCTTTCTTTCTTTGCCACATGGTTCATGTTGAAAACCAGCAAAATGGCATCTCACCCTGCCACCCTCCCCCATTCCTGTTTATCTCAGCATAGCCTTCCATTCCACAGACCTCCTACGGCAGATTAAACCGGAAAGCATCCAAGTCAGCAGGTGCTGCAGTGACCCTGTATCTCGGCTGACACTCGCTGAAGAGCAGTAGCTGCAAAGATGGCATCTCTGTACTGGAAACACTCTTATTCACGCCAACAGCCAGTGGGGATCAGCTTCAGTTACCGGGGGTGGCGTCGGAGATTGGGCCTGTCTTGCAGGATGGAGGTCCCAGAAAGATGATAACGTCTGTCCCTCTAACAAGGAGTGATGAGTTCTGGAGAAACCGTGCCAATGGATCTTAGGCTATCAAGGGAGTCGTATTTTTCAATTAATATAAACTGGCAAACTTTTGGATTGTGCAGATTGATTATGAGCTGCAGGTCACAGCCAGCACTTCCGTGGTGGTTGTGTGAGGGTTGGTGGTCATTCTCTTTCATCTCTAAATCTAGAAGGGAAGATGAACCTATCGTATGCTTTCGTGTGCAAAGGGGAGCTGTGTTATTGGTTGATAACTGGGCTAACTGCCATGGAGCTTAGACAGAAGGGAAAAGGGCTGGGGGGAGATGGGTTTCCCTCCCCTCCCAGGAGAATTACAGGGGTCCACTAGGGAAGGACAAGGCCTGTCCTCCAAGAACAAACAGTAATCAGAGGCTGAGGAGGAAGAGCACAGTTTAATAAAGACAGAAAGGGCTTTCAAGTCCAGGCTTTCTAAAAATACTTTTTAAATGAATGGGTACTGGAAGGAATTTTTTTAAATAGCAAGTTTTGGATGAGGTCCAAAATGACTTCTACTGCAAAACGGTTAGCAAAGAACTGGGTCTCAGCAGGGTGTGGCTGCTGTCTATGGCATTTCTCAGAAGATCTGTAATTTAGACAAAAGTGGCACCGACACTAGCCGATTGGCAACACTTTTGGTCGGGATGAGCTGATGATGTCACTTCCTCTTTGCCGCAGAGCCGGGGATCACATACAACACCACCTGGAGGCCATGTCCCACCACCACAACCGGAGTCCCCAGACCCGCGCCATGAGCGCAGAGGAGAGAAGCTCCACGCCCAAGACCTCCACGCCCACACACAAGAGCGCTTCATCCTCATCCTCCTCGCAGCGTGACAGCCGGCAGGTGAGCGGTGCAAGGGGGGGGTACTTGGAGACAGGCTTCTGGGACACCCCGCAGACGGACCAAAATGGGTCAGGGAGGCTCAAAATAGCTGATCTCTGCACAGAGCACGGATAAGGAGGAGATGCAACGCGTCAGGGAGGGTTTGAGCAGAGCTGTCAGGCAAGAGCAAGGTTAACGGGAAGGTTAACGCGAAAACTAGACGGTTTCTGTTCAGAGGTTGCAATTTTCAGCCTGACGGTTGCAGTTTTCACTTTGTTCTCACTGAAAGACCATGTCTGTCCTAGGGCTGTTTCCCATGAGACTCTACCAGAGACCATTTTGTTTTCATTTGAAGTATGAAGTATTAGTGTCATTAGCATCTTTAGTGTCTTTAGCATTTTTAGCATTATTAAAATCTTTAGCGACTTCGGTATATTTAGGGGATTTAGCATGTTTAGGGGCTTTAGCATCTTTAGCATCTTTAGCATCATTAGCATGTTTAGCAAGTTCATGCCAGTGTTTATGCTTGTAAATGGTGTCCTCTCACACAGCACACCCAGCAAACAAGGGCTCCCACGAGAATGAAGCTCCTGCGAAGACCTGAATGTTGTGCATGGCGGTTGGGACGTCAAGCTTCCCCGTGGGTGCCATGTGAATAATTAATGGCGGTGTGAATGGGGAGTTGGACGTGTGGGCGGTGCAGTGCCGGTAACCCCGGGCGATGGCTTCCAGAGAAGAGCCTGGCGCGTCGTGCCAACGGGAGCAGCCGCTCTTAAAGTCATCGTGCAGCCGGCGAGGATGAACGCTCCCCCCCATCCCCTGCCAGCTCCAGTTACCTGGGTTTCCGCTGTTTACAGACTACATCTGCCGAGCTTTTTATGCATTCCTGACAATGTTGGGGGTTGGGAGGGGGATGGAGGAACGATAAACATTTCCCTCTGATTTCCTGAAAGCGATTCTTCTTTGATTAAAACCAGGTACCATGTTTACTCCTCCCACCAAATCCATATAAACACTGAACTGCGCTTTAGCCGCACCTGGGTTAAAGTGTTCAGCTTATAAGACGCTGCAATGTCAAACATTTTTTGTCTTTCTGAGACCTTTATTGAAATCACCACAGTTTAATGTTAATTTCTGAAAGAGCAGCTGTACACCGCTGTAATATCTCATTTACTGTAAACAGAGTAACAGTATGAAAGTGTTTAAGTTGTGGAAAGTTGTAAAAAAAAATAAAAATCCAATAGGGGAGTTCTTTATAATGTCAGAGACGTCAGCTTCACATGCCTCTAATGGGGTAATTATTAGTCTGTTTTTAATAGCTTGGGCTGCATGCTGTTTACTGTAAACACAGTTAGTTCAAATAGACCCTTATTTTGATGGGGAACTTATTTCCCCTGCTGGACTGGATTTTGTGGCTGTATGTCTGTCAACATTTGTTTCGATGAACTCGTCTGCCTCGGAGATGATTCCACCTTCGGATTAAGTCGATCCTAATTGTACTCTGTGTCCTATTGGTTTACGAGATCAGCTGTGCGGTCACAAAGGCCGTATATAGATGTGGATATTTTGTTTCAGATAATTCAGGCTGGTGCTGTATTCAGCTGCGCTCTGGCTGCCACAATAAGTTACTTTAAGAGGAATCCCAGCACACTGAACGTGGTACAGTTTGTGCTCAGCCTCTGTTTATCCACGATGTGTAGGTGTGAATTCCCAGCATTCGTATCAGCATGGATGCAGGGAAACCCCCCCCCCCCCCACCCGCTTCCACAAACAGACGGTTTACGAGCTGGGGGCTCTTCTCCAATGCAGGGCTATCCTCAGCTGGGAGAGGGGGGGGGATACTGAGACTACCGCTTGTAAACACTGCAGCTGATTGGATCTTCTCTGGCCAGTGATAACTTATGCTTGCAATGACTGAGACGCTGTTGGGGAGTTTCTGGGTGCACTCGTACGAGGGTGCCGGTCGTGAAATACCACCCACGCTCATGAAATTGCACCTGGCGCTCAGTCACTAGAGGGTAGGGACTCCAGTAAATCACTCCGCGTGGCATTGGGAGGGGCGAAGACTGTGCAAGGAACCCCTTTGTCACGTGTGTTATGTGCCGTGTCCATAATGGTCGCTGTGAAGACCTAGGGGTATGCAGAGTAGTTTGAGCCAGGTGGTCACAGCTTCTGCAGCAGCTCTGATGGGCTTTGTCTGATTGGTCGCTGCGGGGAGGCCATGGACCAATTAAAGACATGATTATGACAGAGCTGTGCTGAGCCTCTGAAATGAGCTTGTCTTAAGACGGAGCCCCAGATGGAGAGGGAGAAGGCGCTTGGGTGCACAGACAACTCCATCCAATCACATAAACCTCCGGGTCAGGTGACTGCCGCCCGCATTTTGGGGGAGTAGTTCAGGCACCACCTGAAGCCTCTGTGGACCCTCCCATCTCCCACCGCACTGCTGCTGACTTGCACATGCACACACATGCACACACATACACACACATACACTCCCCCAGGGAGATGAGGGGGTGTTACATGCCGACACTGAGCCGTCCGTGTCTGCGCTTTTCCCCATCGCAGATCGATTGTGTTTATATTGTCCAACAGCAGCCTGGATGCTCTGTTGTGCCACACACACTGTGCAGCACACACTGCCCCGCACACACTGTGCAGCACACACTGCTCTGCATACACTGCGCAGCACACAGTGTGCCACACACAGTGCCCCAGACACACTGCCTCGCACACACTGCCCAGTACGCAGTGCACCACGCACACACTGCCTCGCACACATACTGCGCAGCACACAGTGTGCCACACACAGTGCCCCAGACACACTGCCTCGCACACACTGCGCCACACACTCTCTTGCACACACTGTGCCTCACACACTGCTCCATACACACTGCTCCATACGCACTGCTGCACACACACTGTGCCCTGTGCACTTGGCAGCAGACCCAGATTCAAATACCCACTAATTCTTTAGCCCCTTGACTTTTGAGCGTTTCTTGTTTTTCATTTCCGGATTATTCTGTCACCGTATTTGCTGCCTGTGCTTCAGTCTTAGCTTACAGGAAACCCCCCCATTTGGGCCTGGCTGCTTCGAGCTACTTCTCTGACTCTGCTCCTCCCACCCCGTGGAGAAAAGCTTCTTGTAGACATAGTTTGCTGACACTCGGCAGTTCCTTTCGAGCTGGGGGGGGATGTTTGGTTGTAACCCGTAATTTCCCTCAGGGGAGCATTTGTCCTCTGCCTGTGTGATATGGCTCCTACCTTATTGCAGGTAGGAGGAGGGACCTGGGACTGCAGTACTGGCCCCTGAGGGGGGCGCACGTTCACACTGCATGCTTTGGCTTGGGAGGGGGGCAGAGGACAAGGATAAATACATACAACTGCATGGTATGAGAACAGTGAGCTGAATGTATTTTTTTTTTTTTTAGTAGAGTCATATACGGTATAAGCAGGAGTGTTTGTTACTGATCACTGATATGGTGTAACTGTTCTACTTTCGAGTCTGATTCAGTCCTGAATCACTTTATGCTGTCGCAGTTGGAGGTAAATGATCCAGTCTGAGCAGGTTAAATGAAGCACACAAAGCAGGAGGGTTCTCTCTTTTTCCTGGAGACATGGTTTGGAAAGCCCAGTACAGGACGATCGTGTCGTTACCATTTTTCACAACAGAGGAAAACTGCTGAGAATTGTAGACCAAGCAGAAATGCTAAGTGGGAGAACACCCCGGTGGGGGCCCGGTGTGGGCGGGAGAGCACACCCCGGTGGGGGCCCGGTGTGGGCGGGAGAGCACACCCCGGTGGGGGCCCGGTGGGGGCCCGGTGGGGGCGGGGGAGCACACTGTCGGGCGCCTGTCGATCGTGGCGTTCTGTCTGTCTTGAGCTGTTTTCCCCCAGGTTGTGAGCCTCTCTCACTTACCCGCTTTTCTTACAGGAGACAGATAGCTGGGAGATCATCGAGGGGTTGAAGATCGGCCAGACTAACGTCCAGCGGCCAGACAAGCACGAGGGCTTCATGCTGAAGAAGAGGAAGTGGCCCCTGAAGGGGTGGCACAAGGTAGCATCGTTTGGATATGGCCCGCGGCCTTCGCCTCGGCGTACGGGACGTTTTCCGTCACTTGGCCCCATCCACTCTCCTCTAACCAAACCGTGTCTTTACATCACCAGCGTTTCTTCATTCTAGACAACGGGATTCTGAAATACACCAAGTCACCCATCGACGTAAGTAAGGCCTCCTCTCTCCCTCCTCTCCTATCACGCGTGGCATGTCGCCCCCCAACAGCGGGGGCTGGGACTCCTCCCTCTCGTGTGTGGCTGACCGATGCCCATTGTAATTGCCTCGCATCAGTAGCCAGGGATGTCAACAGGCAGCAGCCCTCGGCAGATCGATAATTTGCGACCTTTTGAAGTTTATGGTTCGTCTGTTTTTATAGGACCCACTAAAGTCACTGGTCAATTTTAGATCTTATTATTTTCATTTTCTGGAATGGCTGAATGTTGACGCTAAAACTGGGGAGACAGGCACCCGGTTTATTTTTTTCTTTGCGGTGGGATAAATAAAGATGTCCCAGTTGTGTTTGTCTCTATGAGAAGCGCACAAACATAGTTGAGCTAAAGCTAGCCTGAGGAGTGCCAGCCCTCGCGCTCGCCATTCGGACCCAGTGCTGTGGTGCTGTCGCCGTGACGACTTCGCTTCCATGCCATTTACAAAGATCCAGAAGGGGAAGCTTCATGGTAGCATCGACGTGGGCCTGTCCGTGATGTCCATAAAGAAGAAGGCCAGGCGAATCGACCTGGACACCGAGGAACACATCTATCACCTGAAGGTGAGCGCTGCCCCGCTGCTGGTGGGGCGGGGGGGGGAGAGGGTCACTGTGTCAATGCCTCACGGGGTCTCCGATGCTCCCTCTGCCACACAGGTGAAATCGCAGGAAGTGTTTGACTCCTGGGTGGCCAAGCTGCGGCACCACCGGCTGTACCGGCAGAACGAGATCGTGCGCTCGCCCCGCGACGCATCTCTGCGGGCATTTCCACCCCCTGCCAGCCGCCCAGAGTCCCCCCAGCTGGCCACCAGCGCCGGGCACGAGGCTAAGGTAAAGCCCTTCGCTTCCCTTGGTGCTCTCTGCCCACCTCTCCATGGGGTCTGCTTTACCCCGCTGCCCATTCCCAGCGGGCCGTCTTTGGCACGCCCCCCCGACTGCGCATTGCTGCAGCGAGCCACAGGGAAGCACTCGCTGGGCCGTGACGGGCGCGGGAGAAGAGCGGCGTTCTGGCCCGACTGGGATAATAATGACTCATTAGAGAGCCTTGCAAAAAAAGCCGATTTGCCGAACCTGCCAAATCCCGCTCCGAACGCCGGCACCGTGCTGACCTGCTACTGCCGGCTCCGCGGACGGCTTGTTTTGGGATTTATCCCCCAGATACCTTCTCTTAAAAAGGCGGAGCTGTGGCATTCGATCAGGTTCCGCGTCATGGCGTCAGACCCGTTAATGAGTGGCAGGGGAAATTCAACATCAGCATTATTGAAAGGCCAATCAGTGTGCGCTTAGGGGTGGCGATGAGGAGATTACACGCCATTTACGCTTCGTCATTCTAGCAGATCACGTGGATTAAAATATTGTCATGGAAATTCAGCTCCCAGTGTGCAGCCATGCTGTTGTAGCTGTTAGTTCTGCATCCTCAGAGCCTTGTGTCTCTTGTTTCCTCTCCTGCGTCATTTTATGGCTCTTATTTACAGTTTTCTATTCACCCTTAAACTGAGATAAGTACGGACATTCCACTGTTGTTTGATTGCGTGTTAAGTGCTTTTGGTCAACCATGTTGGCAAAGGTGCTATATAAAAATGACGTGAATTGAATTTTGCTGACTGCTGGTCCAGGGTGACCCCAGGCTCGTGCTCTGCAGTTCCTGGGAGGGATTCCAGGCCCCCTGGTGACGCCAAGCAGGATAAGCTGTTAGAAGATGTGTGGGTGAATGGATGGAATTAAACTGTTTACCTTTTTAATAATAGGTGTTACAAATGCAGATTGGGAAATAAATGAATGTCTGCACAACTCTGTGAAAACCGGTTGTAAATTATGAATGGGATGCATGTATTGTTTGGAATGAAATGATGTCGTATTTAGCTGTAAAGTGGTGACATTCAGGGCTGGTTAGCTGCCAGTAATTGGGCCGGCCTGTATGATTAAATTTCATGACATTTTAATTACTTTCTCACCTGGTTTACGCTTGGAACTACTGGAAAGATCACATACCATATGCATAAAATAAAACCCCCCCCACGAGAAAGGCAAATATGACACTATTTCCACGGAATCACCCCCTGCCCCTTAAAGAGCCCCCAATAAACCCACTCTCTCAGTAAGAGCTCCCCATCACTGGACTGTGTGTGGCTTTGCTGTGACCTCAGACTCACACTTTGGCCGTCCTGCTCATTGCCTGATTAATAAGCCAGCCGTGCATAATAAAGTCCTGAACGCGCACTGTGGAAAATTGCAAAGCATCCAGGATGACCTTGAATAAGAGGAGCGGATAAGCAGATTAGTATTATAATGTAACTGTCATTAACAAAACTACACCTTATGGGGACCGATTAAAGGTGGAGGCTTTGCCTTGTATCATACTAGACGTTTCGTTTTATAAAAATGTGAGGCTGGAGGTGAATGGTTGAATCGTTCCTTTTTTTAAACTAAAACAACACTTTTCTAGAAATTGAACCAGGCAAAATATTGTGTTATAAAAAATTTGATGTGGTCGGTGTTATTTTCTGAAAGAGAAATACTTTATATATAAAAGTATATATAAAGGTTTAATATTTATAAATAGACATGAAATGTTCATGTGGCCAGTTTATCGGGCATACCTGCTCGCTAATGGATTAAGTCCGCTCCCCCAAACAGAGAATCGTGTGGCTGCAACTGAATACATACAGCATGCAGATTGGGTCAGAGTGGGTCAGTCACTTACTGTTCAGCTGAGCGTTTCAGCGGCTAAGTCGTCTCCTCTAAGTGGTATCGAACATGCTGTCATACGTGCCGGTTTCAGCATCTCAGAAAGAGCCGCACTCCTGCCATTTTTATGCGCTACAGTGTCTAGAAGTTTGCAGAGAATGTTTCTGTGAACAGTTACATCCAGTCAGTAGCATTTCTGTGGCCTAAAACAGCTTTTTAAATGAGAAGGTCAGAGAAGGAAGACCAGCCTCGTTAAAGCTAACGGGAAGGCCACAAGCGCAAAAATAACAGCTGAGTACAACAGTGGTCTACAGAAACACTTCTCTGAATGCTCAATTTGTTTATCTTTCAAGCACTTCTTGAGGGAAAAGTGCATCACACTACTTAGGTAATACAGTGGCTACTAAGTATATGTATGTACATTCCCTCTGTGCTCCTTATAAAAATGTATGAATATTTTTATATGTTACTACAAAAGCAGCATATCCATGAAAATCATACATGTCCGTGTTTTGGCGACTATGAAAAGATAATACCATGAAGTCATCTATTTAACTAACATTTATGTTGGTACTAGTTAGCATTTTTGGGATTACTTTATATCATTAATTATAACAACTTAGATAGGTAATAGCTAGCTAACTAACATCAGTGTTAATTGTGAATATAAAGCGAATTAGTTTGTTGTTGACACTGACATATATGGCTCTCCGACAACAATCTCCGTAAGTCTATTTAAAACATAAATCCCTACACTAATGGCTGCGTAAAGACAGGTTTCTTTTGCGCTGCTAAGGGTGTCTCATTATGTTGTTTTAGGTTTATTTTGTAAAGTATTTTCTGAGAAAATGTATTTTTTCACCCTCCTGAAATAATGGATTTTTGGCGGTACGTGTCTTTCATCGGACAGAGACGATATATTAGCCCGGTGTCACCAACTTTTGTCAGCTGCCTGGCGTGAGATTTCCAATTCAAGAAAAGTCTGCAGGCACATTTACATGTTTGTAACAGTTTTATTACCTTGTAAATAGTCTGTGGGGTTTGCAATCGACCCCAACGCTTTTGATGTAGCTGATTTTAGGTTTATAATGGAATAATACAGGTAATACTGAGAGTGTGACAGAGTGAGTGTCACGGCAGATGCATGAGAACTGGCATCCCTGATTAGTCCTGACGGGTGAGGGCAATGTTCTGGGCTATGGACNTGTAAGAGTGAGAGTGTGACAGAGTGAGTGTCACGGCAGATGCATGAGAACTGGCATCCCTGATTAGTCCTGACGGGTGAGGGCAATGTTCTGGGCTATGGACAGATCACCCAGGCCTCTTCTTTCAGATACCGCTTCTCCGACAGAGTAGCACTTGAATGGTTCCATTCAAAGCCCGGCATTTGAGGGCATGGACTCAGAGCTTCGGGGCTGATCTGAGTGGGCTTTCCTCCAACTTGCTCTCCGCAGGCCAAGCCCACCAGCCTGCCCTGGCAGCCCCCAGCCCCCAGCAGCAGCAGTGGCAGCCTGCCAGCCTCGTACAGCAACGGCCAGAGCAAGGTGGCAGCCTGGCTGCTGGAGTGGGAGGAGATGGACAAGTGTGCCGAGGGTGAGTGCAGCGTGAGTCACTGCCAGCGTGTGGCTGTCTGCAGGCCTCCGGGCCCCTGCAGGGCGGGAGAGGTAGGCCTCAGCTGTGTCTACACACCCAAGAACCAGAGAAAGAGCCCATCAGAACCTTCTTCTATAATACTGGTTCACTTGACTGACTTTGACCAGTTGGAACAGTTCCTTCAGTGATGTATCCCATGTCCTGCGTTTACTTCCAGAGCTCGCTCACTGCCAGTCCAACCTGATCGAGCTCAGCAGGCTGCTGCAGAGTCTGGAGATCCTGCAGAGGACCCAATCCGCCCCCAGCTTCAGCGACATGCAGGTAACGTGTGCTCCCATGCAACAGCGAGGGAGTTCCTTACGCCTGCCCTCGCAGACTGGGCACCCGCCGCTCGGACCCGCGTTAGCTCACAGCTTAGGTCACGAGAAGCTGAGCAGCATAAAAAATGCACATGAAAACCTTTTAAATCAGGGGTCACCAACATGGTGCCCGCAGGCACCAGGACGCCCCCAAGAACCACACGAGTTGCCCTGCGGACCTGTTCTAAAAATAGCACAACTCACCTGTGAGCAGCGTCTAAATTTAAATTTTATCCTGTTGCTATTCTTCTTTAATCACATTTGCATTAATATAGATTTGAAAATGACAATATCTAAAAAAAAGCATTTAAAACATGTATTATACATGAAGTTTAGATAAGTTTAGGAGGCATTTCAAACTGGTAGCCCTTCGTATGGCTCAGTACCCGTGAAGTAGCTCTCAGTTTCAAAAAGATTGGTGACCCCTGGTTTAAAGCTCTTTGTTTTCCTGTGTTTAGCTAAAAGCGAGTGATTACCAGTCATGGTTTTTGTCATCCTCAGTTTAACTCATAGATTTGACACAGATTTTGAACTCATCGCATAGTCTGTCACCGCTAACACCGGCTGGTTCTGGGGTCATTCCATCACAGCCAGAGCCTCTCCTGGGGCAGTGCGCGCCATAGAATGTGCCGGATGCATAGGCGTGGGGATGGGTGCCTATGTGCTGTCTCACTGCCAACCTCTGGTGTGTTTCTGTTCATGTGCGCCGTAGGCTAATTGTGTAGATATGTCAAAGAAAGACAAGCGGGCAAGCAGAAGATGGAGAACAAAAAGTATCAGCAAAGATGCAAAAATGCAGCTCCAGGTACCTGCCCCCCCGCCCCCCCCCGCCGTCTCCCCGGTGACCGTGTGTGCCATGCTGTTTCCGTGTGCCGCTTCTGTACCCAGCCTTGCTGTGTGTAAACCCCGTCGCTTTCCTACAGCCTTCGGGGTAATGCGGGTCAGGCAGTGTGAGAGAGAGTCCTCTTGGGTAGTCAGTGTATGAAACTACCACCACAGTGCTGTGATATACTAATTATCTGGCACGTTAAAACGTTTTCTGCGTGTAATGCTAATCTAACCATAAAAATTTACATGACACTATCATTCATTTTATCAATTTTTAAAGTCCCCAATTTAGGTTCTTACATTTTATCCGTCTTTGAGAGGACAGATTAAATGCCTTTTTCTATCAATGCTTCAGTACTTCCTGAGCTAAAACGTAGACGTCTTCCTCTAGGTCTCGATAGAAAGCCACTGCTAACTGTCCAGTGAAAATAAAGGGATCTGAGATTTTAAGAAATTAGTTATCATTTATGCTTGATTATGAGTATCAGAATTGACATTAATATTTTGGAGGTCATCCCTCTGAAAAATCTCCTAGCCAGATGTTCAGATACTGAACTTCATATCTACATCCAAGAGGAGTCATAGTCAGATATCCAAATACTGAACTTTATTTCTACGTAGTGCAGACATTCGGATATGGTCCTGGACCGACCGACGCAATATAGACATGATCTACACAGCTGGCAGACGTCTCCTGATTGTTGGGTAATGATTCTGTCCATGCCTGGCCTCCCCATCTGACACACAGTGCATTAGTCTCACTGCAAGGTCAATGTGACTCAAAACACGGGAAAAGCACACATTTGGTATGGACACAGCATTTCCCTCTAAAAAAGCACATAGGTGCCCATCCGTGTGCCTGTCTGTGTGGTCGACCCGCGTCACTTCCTCAGAACTGTGCTCGCGTGTCTGACTCTCACCGTCTCTCACAGGTATTTCGTTCTTTCCAGCACTCGAGACGTGTCAAAGTAAGAGCCCCCCTTCCCTTCCCCCGTCCAAGTCCCCTCTGTCCTCTCCTGAGGCACTGTCATTTCTGGGTTTTATCTGTCACGCTTCTGTAGAATCTGGGAGTCAAAACACTTCACTTTCTTCGCTGATAAAACATAAAAGCGAAGAGCGGGATTCTTGCTTGAAATTCTACTATGATAGTATAGAATTTACTATAGAATTGCCATAGTACTATAATTACTATAATTGGCTTTTCATATTAAAATGCTGCTTTTATTTTAATGAAAATGTAGCTTTAAAAAACTCATCCATACAACATTCTATACTTGATCTAGACCCCAGATATTTCTCACACAGGGAACCGCAGTGTCCCCATGTCGGAGGTATGGAATGGGGGTCTTGTGTAGAGTTGGGATGTAACCAGGGGGTTTTCTACACCTTCAGGTTCTTCCTCTGGGAGTAAACAGCCTGGTTTTTCCTCACAGGCCTTGCAGTGTTGTCGTCTTGACGCCTTCGCGGTGGTGGGCTTTGGGGGTCAGTCTCCAGCCTATCACGCGGGTCCTTTCTGTCCCCCCCCGCTGCTGCCCCTCCCTGTTATTCCACGCTAACCGTACACGCACAGGGTTACTGGCACAGTGTCCTGAATCAAAACACCCCCCCCCCATCTCACTCCAGGTTCCCCTGAATGCCAGGTTGCATTCCTCCAACCCCAACCTGTGTGCAGACCTTGTGGATTTTCAGACCGCGGTGCCGAGGCTGTCAGATGCCATCGAGTGCCCCCCCGACTACATCAAGCTGCAGGAGGACTTCTGCGTTATTGCTCAGAAAGGTGGGGATGGGGGGGGGGTGTAGTTAGTGGCAACATGGCAGACAATTACATAAAGAACTCAGTGATATCCCACAATGCACTGTGCCTGTGTACAATACAGTTGAATAAACTGGAAACTTGTTTACTTAAATTGGCTTAATTCATGTCAAGGAAACTGCAGTTTATGTATATATCACCTCAGCCCTCGTTATTTTGGGCTGCAATGTGAGCCCAGTTATTTATGTGGTCCCCTGACACTACTGCCATAGTTACTAGATGAGTTCTCACCTTGACTGAGAACATAACACCACACTGTTGTATTTTTAGAAGCTACATAGATTTTTCTCTTATTATGTAGTTTTGTAGCTTAATTCCTTTTGTTTGCATTCATTCATACATTCATTTGCCCCCCCCCCCTTTACAGTTCACTCTCTCTTGAAATCAGCCTTCAATACCGTAGCAATTGAGAAGGAGAAAATCAAGCAGGTCTTTTCCGATCAGGAGAAGCTGGGACAGACTGCCCAGATCCTGACCCTCAGGAGGTCCCTCTCCCAGGTGGGTTGTCTCGGGTGGCATTGCCGCACTTCGGTTGTCTGCCTTGCGTGTCTCCCCTCGATTGCTTCCTTCCCTCCTTTGTGAAATTTCCGCATCCGAGATATTACAGCAAAAACGGTAATGTGACTGTTTCCTTTCTGAACTTTTTGTCTATCACAAACCAGAAAAAATATAAATATGAATGTCATGGTCTGTCATGCGAGATGCCTAGAAGCTTTTAATGAGACAATGAAAGCTGCTAATGAAACCAAAAGCACTGTGAGACACACTATAAAGCATAAATTAACACCCCAAAACCAGCTATAAAGAAGCTAATGGGTTGGACAGGCTCGTAACCGACAGTAGGAAACAAGCAGTGTTTGAATATCACAGATTACACGCTGATTTAAGTGGATAAAAACAGTAAATACGTTCTCTAACGCAACTTAATCACCACTAGATTAATTATGCGTGAGCTGTTAGGGTAGATTGAGTAAGGTGTAATCATGGAGACCACAAAAATATCATGCACAGAAAAATGAGAAAGAACTTTTAATGGAGTAACCTCAATAACGTGCAGGTTAACCTATTAATATATGGATAATTCAGCTGTAAATCTGTCGATCAGAAGCAAACATTATTCTGTTGGGATTAGATTTTTAGAGCAAGCCCAACTTAAACAACTGAGACACTTTTTATACAGAAGCATATACCATTCACACTTGACAGCAATAGTTAAGTCACTGGGGATGTTGAAGACTAAATATTTCATCAACAAAAATTACTGGAAAGAATGAAATATTGCATGCCAGCATATATGAAAATAACAGTGATGGGTCTCACTAACAGCTTAAGTAAGTAAACAAATCAGAATCTGTACATTTTTTTGTTATTTGTCCAGCCTACTTTGACAAGTACAATCATTTAGGGAGATTTCTATGATTATGACTTGGTTTTGCACTTGTAAGCCTTAGAATCCCCATGATGTTCATCTAGTTGAATGAGATGAAGATTATGAATGAACAAATTTACACAGCATCAATTTTACAATTCTTCTACTTTTCTACTTTTTGTATTTCAAATGTCTAGCTCCATTATCAGATAGTTTTGTATCGTAATGTAGTGGTATTTCACCTATTTACATATAAATTTACAAAGAAATATATTTTAAAGACCAACCACTAACCAGAGAGTGATACAACTTGTGTGTTCATATATGTTGGCCTCCCAATAAGCATTTTTGTTCTTTAAGTTTATCTTCTGCATGTTATTCACAGCAATAAATATTATTTTTTGCCCATACTTCTGTCTCAGTAAACAGTAAGGCAAACCCTCTCACAAATATCCACTTAAAATTGATTAAATTTAATTATTTTACAGTCCTAAAGCTTCCACTGCGTAAATCAGGGGTGGCCAGTATTATCCAGAAAGAGCTGCAGTGTATGTGGGTTTTCACTGCAACTCCTTAGTTTGATTACTAATTATAGGACTGATTGACTGAAGAGCCCTCATGCCTGGGTTTGAACAGCTGACCTAAAGTTTATCCCAAAAATCTACATACACGCTGGTCCTTTGTGGATAAGATTGCCCATCCCTGCTGTAAATGAATACTAGCCATTGTGATACCTGGTAGGTTTTGCTTTTGCAGACTTTTGAGTTTCAGGTGTTCATTTGACTGTGTTTGTTTAGAAAACCTCATTTTACTATGCAACGCCCTTTGGCCACAGTACTCTTAAGAGCCTGTGAGGTCGGCGGCAATTAATCAAACAACTGGAACCGGGACCACAATAATGGCTGATACGTCACGCCAGCTTTGCGAATAAAGAGACGTACGTCCGTGAAGGAGTCAGCCAAGGTTTCCCGTTTCAGGAAGAGGGGGATAATGAAAAGGCAGACTCCCGCATGCGATTTGACGTGTAGTTCATTAATTCATTCCCGCCAGGACGCCTTTATGCGCCCGGCGATAAAATTGAAACGCACCCCCAGCGGACCACCACAATCACCATGCATTGTGTCACAAGACTCGTTATTCGTGAATAATTAATACCGTTTGTTTTTCAGACGGCCCTTAACGCTCGCAGTATCAGTGCCAGGGAAACATTTCCGTACGAAACTGACAGTCACTCACACAATATTTACTAACATATTTACTTTCTCCTCTCTCCCCAAAATGGCATTTTCTTGTCTGCAGTCAAGTGCTCCATTTCAGCAAATGCTTTTACTTTCATTAGATGCGAAATTACATTGCAGACAACCCATTTTATTTATTTATTTGTTTGTTTGTTTATTCATTCCTCATAATCAAGTAAAGAGTATCTGGTAAACAGTATGTGATGGAAAGCCAACATCTAGAGTATTGAATGCTGTACAAAACCAAGGCAATATGAATCGGTACAGGATGGGGAAAATTAAACATTAAAAATGAGAAGGCAAGTAATAATACAGGGTTTGCATTTGTGTGGGTGTGTATGTGTACGTTCACACTAAGACATTAAGTACTAGCCTGCATTCTGTGTCTGTGATACATCGTCAACCCGTCCGGATGTATACAAGCCACAATTAAAGCTGTAATCTGCTTTGATTTATGTCACCGTACTTGTTATTTGAACGTCTGTGGAGTAAACACTGTTGGAGATGTCTTTTAGCCAGGCAAACTGAGTGTAATTAAAGGAAAAAAGCTCGTTTGGTAATGTGTCGTGACTGCTCATTAGGCACTGACCCAAAATGCAGAGCTTCGAACCCGACTCAGCCGCATCCATTCAGAGTCCGTCCTGTCTGAGCAAGTGGTCAGCGTGAATATCATCCCCAGCCCCAATGAGGTACTGACAACCATTTTCTCCTGCTTTTTTCTTTTTTTTCCCCCTTTTTTAAAAATTAAATAAAACCATTGACCATTGAATGGACATAATGTGATGCCTGTAATCAAAGAGTGTCACTCCGAAGCTTCGCTGGTGTGGTGGCACCTGGATGCATTAATCCTCACTAGGCTGAGTGTGGTCAGCTGTTCACATGGAGGCTAATTACAGTATATTAGCATGTCTCTGCAATTATTTTGCTGGTCATCAGTAATCACATGACGGCGAGGCTGGTTCTGTCATCTCAAGACGTTAATGGGGTCATTGATCATGTTGAGCTGTCAGCATGACCTGTCAGTCTTGTCCCTCCCGTCTATAAATCGCCTAAAATGGATCCTGTGTTGTTGCTTACTGAGCTTTTCCGTTTTGCCCCGACGGTAGAAAAGCCAGCTGTCTGTCCATTACAATTTCAGTTGTGATCCTTAAATAACTGAAGGAACGTGCTGACTTGGTCATCAATGGAGATGGAAGGAAGACTGAAGCAGTCATGAACACTTAAGACCTTGAAGGGGGGGGGGGGGGACTGTTGTCATCATCTGCAGAAACCATCTTTGGACGCATATTGGGTTCAGAGCTGCAAGCTTTGCACATTTGCTGCTATAGATCACATAAATAATAAGAATCGAGGACCACTGCAGGGTTATTTATGGTGCTGGACATTATTGGGGGGATCTAACCTTCCTCCTGCAAATTCACGGGCAAGGGTTTCCCCGGCACTCGATGGGGCTCTCCTCAGCCGCTTGTGTCTGCCCCACCCTCCAGCCAGGCGAGCCGATCTGCGCAGGAATCCCCCTGACTCAGCAGACGTCCAATGAGAGCAGGCTCTCCATGTCCGAGTCCGTGTCGGAGTTCTTCGACGCCCAGGAAGTGCTTCTGTCAGCGAGTTCATCAGAAAATGAGGTGAGGGGCCCTCTGGGTGGAGATGAGCAGGGGAGCGTGAGGCGTGGTCTCTGAATCCGCCGCCGAGACACTTTAATCGTGGTTGTGTCGTCATGCCAATGGTTTTCCAGCACTTAATGAGCTGGGTGTGAAGACCTGAAGTAAAACAGGTTAGAAGGTCAGAAATGGCAACCAAGGAATAAGAGTCTTTTCCCTTTATAGTCTGGTTCCACACTACTGCTTTCACCATTACTGCCGGTTCTCTATTTTACCCCTTTCATTCATGGTGGCCACACATGTGGACAGTTGATTTAAAGTTATTTTTGTCAAATACAAGATACTGGTAACCAGTGGGTCCATGGATAATTATATTCGAGGACAGGCAAGTTTGATCAGTGCTCCCAAGAGTCAATTCTGCCTTTGAAATCCGGCGGTGTAAGAAAACCACCTAGAAAAACGTCCTTTGATAATTCATGCGTGAAAGGGACGACCTTAAATTCCCTACCTTGACAGCTCTCTTCTTTATCGTTTGACCAAAGATCTGTTTTGCTGCTACCCAGACGTCCACAACCCTGGTATCCGTCAACAGGCAATATCTCCGTGCCTGTTGACTTTCTCTGGGGCATGACAGCTCCAGTTGTCATTCCTGACATTCCCCGGACATGTAAATGGTGCGACGACCCCCTGGGAGATGCCTCATAGGGCCTGGGGGAAGGATCACACAACGGCAGCACGTGGGCGATTGACCGCGGTGTGCTGTTGGGCTGTCCGCATGGCTCACATTCATCCCTGGCACTTATTGTTCAGGCAGGAAGCTGAAGTACGATGAACTGATGCTTTTACCCAAACCAACTTACAGTTTTTACTCATTTTTACAGATGGGCATTTTATTGGACCAGCTTAAGTTAAGCGCCACACTGGACGGTACAACAGCAGGGGATATACACCACAGTCTACTGTTTACAACTTAGTGGCATTCGCCACTGTGCCACCCTGAGGATCAGAATCAGATCAGAATCAGATCAGAATCAGATCAGAATCAGATCAGAATCAGAAAAACGTTATTGATCAGGGAGTAAAATTCCTTCAGCTACAACTGCACATATAGACAAAGATACAAGTAGACATGATGAACACTATATAACTAAATGAAAAAGGAATTATACCACAAAAGAAATCACAAAAACTCAACACTATACAGTTATTATCGGTTTGTTTATCCAGCTGGTAGATAAGCTGTGGTAGATAAGGTGCAGGGTGGATTTACTGTTGCACATTTTCAGATCATTCGGCCTTCTACAGATGTTGGCTCTCTTTGATGGAGAAATCCGAACACCATCCTGCATACTCCGCTGAGGGCACAGGCCGTAGGTTTAGCTAACAGAGATCAGTGTTTTTTTTTTACACATTTATAACCCCGACCATGATGCTGAATGGTCAGCGATTCAGTCTAAACCCACCTGTTTCCGTCCCCAGGCTTCAGATGATGAGTCATACGTCAGCGATGTGAGCGATAACATCTCCGAGGACAATGCCAGCGTGACGGATAACATCTCCCGGCAAAGTACGCATCCGTGCCGCTCGTGCTGGGGAGGGCCCTGTGCTGAGCTTCGCTGTGCCGCTTTTTAAGCAGGGCGGGCCTGACCTTGAATGGCTCTGAGGTGCTGCGTGATGCATCGTGTAATGCGCTACCTAAAGATCGCTCTTCCTTCTGTACGCTTCCTTAATATCGGCAGCTCTTCTCGGTGGTCCAGTTGACTGAGTGCTATTAACTTCAAACCTTGTACTGCTAGTGGTGTATTTATTAGTTGTTTTCCCCATACTCCTGGTCTTTTTCACTAAGATACATATGGAGTAGCTATAATTTCGAGGTATTTTAATGGACCGTGGGAGTTTCACAGCATTCTCCTGTACGGATGTCTAGAACCACCTTAGCACTGTAGTGCTATTTTGTAGCCCTTGTTCTTTTCCCACCTAAAAACACACATCCTGCTGTTTGCAGTGCTCAACGGCGATTTGGGAGGCGGGGCCTTCCGAAACGGACGCCGCATGTGCCTCCCCGCCCCCTCCCCCGACACCAGTAACATTAACCTGTGGAATATCCTGAGGAACAATATTGGGAAGGACCTATCGAAGGTGTCCATGCCAGTGGAGCTGAATGAGCCGCTCAATACCCTGCAGCACATGTGCGAGGAGCTGGAGTACAGTGAGCTGCTGGACAAGGCGGCTGAAACTGAGGACCCCTACGAGAGAATGGTACGTTCCCAGTACTCGTCACAAATTAACTTATGGTACGCTCCTAGCACTGATTCTCCTTCTAAGGGTATGATGCAGTACATTTGAAACTTGCCATTATTAATACTTCTCTAAAAATACAGTTTGAGAGATTCAATATGGTACAGAAGGTGTAAGATGAATTTTAGACTTGATTTATAAATGCTCCAAACACACTGGCTGTGTTTACCCCTGAAAGAAAGCTGGAAACACACAAGCCCAGGTGGCCCCTGAGATTGTGAAGCTGGCCCTTGACACATACAGCCTCAGGATATTGTCAGCAAGTGGAGCTCTCAGTGAAAGATTTGTACATTTACCCGGGTTACACCCTACAGCTCTGCATTACACTTGTTCCTTCCTCCAACAACCAGCAGAGGGAGCTCACTCTGACAACCCACTTCCCCTTCAAGAATATTGTTGTCTTTATACGTTTTCAGTTGCAACGTTTCCACTTACAATGACATGACACTGAGCAGCCAAAGGGCTGTTAGGAGCAGTGAGCGAGAAGTTCACTGGTCAAGAGAGACCCTTCTCACCCTTTTAACCGGCGCAGAGCGATTCCGGTTACGTTCCCCCAGAATTCCTCCTCACAGTTGAGCGATTGTGCGCCGTGGCAGATTTTACGAGCCGAGCCCCTTGGAAGCGCCCTTTCATTCTTTAATAGGTCTTGTCAGCAGCATTCTATACTATACACTTAGTTCCCTTCCTTCAAAAACATGAAGGCGTGTGCTTATTTTCGAGAGCCCTCCATTTTCAAGCCTTCGGTTTTATTACCCGCTGACACTTGTAAACCAACGCTCCCGCCTGCATGAATGATGTCGCCTTTCTCATACTGCCATTCTAGGAGAACAATTACGTGACTCCTGCTCTTTGCAGCTTGTGTAACATAACAAGCACGGCTGCTTTCTGTGATTCTGGCGAGCCGCACATAAAAGTTATTGGTAGCATCCAGCTGATAGAGACTGCACATTTTCCGGGCCATGGCCATTGAGTACGGTGGACTTTAATGTCCCGTGCATTAGGATGCTTTCCCTGTCTTTGGTTCCAGAGTAGCTAGCTACACGTATGTTCGGCCTGTTTTTTTTTTTTTCCTGTGGTTGATTTGTATGCTGAAGTAATGACTGGTTTGTTCTCCTCAAGGTCATTGTTGCTGCTTTTGCAGTCTCTGGGTATTCGTCCACCTACTACAGAGCAGGAAGTAAGCCGTTCAACCCTCTGCTTGGCGAGACCTACGAATGCATACGAGAGGACAAGGGTCTCCGCTTTTTTTCCGAGCAGGTATGATGTGACGTCATCCAACATCCGGGAACAAACACAGCTATTTTTAATGTGTTTCTTTTTCCCAAAGGCTGAAATTATTTGAGAACATTTGCAAACGTATGATTATTTTAGGTAGTTTGTTTGATCTGTGAATGACTTTATTTTGGAAAAAAAAGTTAAATGTAAATATCAGTTTTGCGAGTGTTTTTGTTTTTTGGTCGTTAGTTTGCATGAAACCCCCTGCCTTCAAATCTCATTTAATTACCCTCCAAGAATACAGCCTCGCAACATGTTTCTCAGGCCTGGGGCCTTTAGTTTTCATTCCCATAATGCCCCTCTCCTGCTGCCATCTCTGCCTACAGAAGCCAAATCCCCTGAGGCCTTCCTGTCTCTCTCATGTCCTTGTTCTTCTGAAAGAAGCTCTACTTCAGTCCCAGCTGCGCTTTACGTCCTGCGCTTGGCTCGAGTGCTGCTGACATCTTTGTTATTACAGCCATATCTTGGCTGCCTCACCGCAGATGAAGATATATAACTCTCCTTTTGATATGGCTTCGGCTTCTTCCGAATAACATGGTGCAAATCTGTACTGTCACATCTGGAACATTAGGATTTCTGCGATGTGCCCTTTCTCATTTTCTCTGAAATTTGGAGCTGTCCTACCTCTTTATGGTCCCGAAAAAACTATGCCGGCCAACGCTTGTGTAGGGCTGTAAAGGGGAGATTGCTTGTAAAGGCAAGACCTTTTCGTTCCATTTCACACTGAACTGAACTCCTATGGTGATGAGATGAATCCAAATCCAAAAATAAACCCTATTTTACTATATACTATATATTTTTACCGTATCTACTTTTTATTTTCAAGGTGAGCCACCATCCACCCATCTCTGCTTGTCACTGTGAATCCAAAAAGTTCACCTTCTGGCAAGGTAGGTCAAGACACCATAAATAACTTTATTACCTTACATCGACATGCCTTGCTAGCTTGCTAAAGACTCCTTTCCGTATCATGACGTAATCCTCATGGTAGAAGGGGCGTCTTGTGTAATGTCTTGCCTTTATGAAATTATGTCAAATTAATTTGTATCCTGTGCACCGTGGCGTTCACTTTTAGAGGACACAAAAATACAAAAACGGGTTTAATTTCACTACTGAAAACCGGCGTGGATACTGGTGCGCTTTGGCTTTAAGTAGAATCTCTTGTCGCTGTTGGCTTTCAGACGTCAGATGGAAAAACAAGTTTTGGGGGAAATCTATGGAAATCCTGCCGATCGGGACGGTGAACGTCATGTTACCGAGGTAAACTCTTCCCCAGCATACAGGCCTCATGCCCCCATTTCAGTTTCCTCTAAGTAACCTAATCCTCCTAGAACCTGCTACTCACCCTCCTCTTGAGGACTCAGCAGCCAGGCATAACCCATTTAGCCACCAAGTGGCAGTGGCTGACACCCAGCCAGGCTCATTACGCCACTCCGAGATGCCGACAGCGATGAGCTTTGTGCCACGCTTTGGAACCTTGTGGAACTGTTGCTGTACTGGGGAGGAAAGTGTGTTCGGTTCACAAATCTTAATCTTTTTGAAATTCCTCATTGTCTGTGGGCTCCAAAAAAGATCTAGTCCAACCACTGGATGCAGATTTCACCTCTGGTCTCAGAAATGCACTGAGCCTCTTACCATATAGTCTGACTCGTCCGGTGCAGAACTTTTTCGGTTCTTCATATCACACATGAGCTGTGTCTTGAAGGTCTTTGCTGTACCCATCAGGTTCGGCGACCTCTACGAGTGGAACAAAGTCACCACCTGTATACACAACATTCTCAGTGGGCGGAGGTGGATCGAGCACTATGGAGAAATCACCATCAGGAACACCAGAAGCACCGCCTGCATCTGCAAGCTAACGTTCGTCAAGGTACCAGCCAATGGGACGGCTTGATTTCCCATTCTACCTTCAGGGAACCGTGGCCGGCATTAAATAGCTTTTCACTGCTTTATAAAAAGTGACAATGCTGTGCCGATTTTAATTGCTGCTTTTTGCGTGCAGTATAAGTGAAAGTGAATGAGGCGTCAGTCTCGGGCCTGTTCTTACTTTCTTGTTGCTGTCTCTCAGGGGAACTACTGGAGCTCGAACGTTAATGAGGTCCAGGGCTTCATCATGGACCAGGAAGGGAAAGTGGTACATCGGTTGTTTGGCAAGTGGCACGAGGGCCTGTACTGCGGAGTGCCCCCCTCAGCCAAGTGCATCTGGAGGCCAGGTACCATTGAGGCCTTGGGGGCGAACAGGCCAGAACCCTCCCCAATGCAGTGCATCACTGCACGTCCACTGGGCCACGCCCTACTCCACGGACCACACCAACTGCATACACACTTCTAAGCAACAAGAGGCTCATAATGTATAGAGAATTATTCCGGCTGGGTATCTGCGCAAAACTAATATTTGCAAGCTTAGCTTGTGCTGTTTAATTCTGGCTCATATTTCACTGGTTATTGTTATGGTCAAGCAAATACGCCGACCCATTTTCATAAATCTCATGAACGAATTTATGAGATACCAATCAATGGACTTCTGCTCCCTCAGTACTATAAAATAAAGCAGCAGCCTTATATATATAATTTCAGACCCTGTCAAGTCATGTAACGGTATGATTTGAAGTCCAGTCTCTTCACATACCGCATATACAGACTTATCCCACGGTACAAATAGGTGGAGGTGGAAATCGCTATGATAAGGTTTTTTAAAATTTGTTCTTAAATATACATAAATAGAATAAATAAATAAAATCTCTTCTTCTAGGGTCCATGCCCACCGACTATGAGCTGTACTATGGATTTACCAGGTTTGCAGTCGAACTCAATGAACTCTGTCCCGAGATGAAAGACCTGCTGCCTCCTACTGATGCACGTTTCCGCCCTGATCAGAGGTACGTTAAGTTTGACCTTACAGCTAAAAGCCACTTCTAGATTTTTGCCTACGTTGGTAACGTGCTGTGTACAATGCTGCCATCTGCAGGTTCGAAAAAGCACTACACAACTGTCATAATTTTCCCAATAGAGGCTGAACTGCGGACTCTTTTCTTCTTCTTCTTCTAGCGGGTATTTGAAATCCAGAATAAAATTCTAGATTTCAAACCATGAAGAATCACACTTTGTTTACCACAGGATTTTACCAAAATGTAGATATGGGAGTCTAAGGTTTAGAGATGTTTTGTGGAATTAGTGTGTAATGTGCTGTGTAAATGAGGATTTTGTTAAATCTCTAGAAGTGGGTATAGAAGATGGATGGATGGATGGATGGAGGAAATGCATGAGCTGGTTCTTTTGCCACACAGGTACTTGGAGGAGGGAAAAGTAGATCTGGCAGCCGCAGAGAAACAGCGCATTGAGGACCTGCAGAGGACCAGGAGAAAGTGGCAGGAAGAAAATAACATCAAACACCAGCCCCGCTTCTTCAAGTGAGTCCTGTTATCTGTGGAACTGTAGTGAAGATATTTAAGAAGTGTAGAGAACTAGAGTACATAACTACAGTCAAATCAGAGGTCATCTCACGTGACACCTCTATACATTGTGAAGATCTAGGGTCACATCTAAGACAGTTAGCATAGGCATTTCCAGAATAGGTCTTTCCCATTTAGGCTGAAAGCTGGGGTCAGGCTAGCTCAGCCGTCCCCTACAGATGTCTGGAAGTCCTTACAATCTTCCTTTATATGATTGTTCCAGCTTAAATATTGTGCATTTTGAGGATGCTAACCGAAAATTTCAGGCTTTGTAAAAGCCCTCAAAAAATATTTTTATTATTTGCATGTCATGGTTTCTGTGGTGAGTCAAAAAAGTACTTTACAAAACTGCAAATTAGTATTTACAGTTACGTACGGTAATTCTGAAATTTAACCTAGCTGAAGTTACATTACGGATGGGACATAATTTATTGGTATACAAAAATAATTCTTTCGGAACTCCTGCTCCAGCGCCCTCTTAGCTGAGCAAACACAGTGTTTCAGGGTGATTTATGTTTGGCTAATTATTCACAAGGGGTGTGTACCAGGGGCAGCATGGTGGTGCAGTGGTTAGCATTGTTGTCTCATACCTCTGAGACCTGGGTTTGAGTCTCTGCCTGGGTTGTATCTGTGTGGAGTTTGCATGTATTCCTCGTGTCGTCGTGGGGTTTGTTCTGGTGTCCCCCCAAAGACATGCTGAGGTTAATCGGAGTTACCAAATTGTCCATAGGCAATATAGACACTGTAGCAACCCCATGTTTCATTTCAAACTATAACTTTCCTCATCGCTGTTTTCAATATGAACTTAACAAAAACGGCACACGTTAGCCTCAGACATAAACAATTCTTTTTGTAACATAAGCCTGTTCCATGTTGAAGTACGAGATGAGATGATAAATAGTATCATTCGCATGACATCCATTAACGAAAACATAGCCTATCGACATTTTAACCCTGTCGACTTTCGGAAAACTTGCTTGTAATTTGCGCAAAACTTTAATGGAAACACAGTTGTTGACTGCCCTGCTCATACATCATACATCTCTTCGCAGGAAGGTCATCGATGCCAACCAGAGGGAGAGGTGGGTTTCCAACAGTACGTACTGGGAGCTCCGCAAAGACCCCGGTTTCAGCAAACTGGAGAACCCCAAACTTTGGTAGTCCCCCAGAAGGCTGTGCTCAACATATCATCAGCACTAACAAACAGGCTTTAACCTATGCACAATTGTTCAGAAGCTCCTCTATGACATTAGTACTGCAGAGTTGTGGACACGACCAGACCTGCGGAGCCCGAAGCCCCCCCCCCCCAGTATGGCCCTGTCCCTTTTCTGAAGCAAGCGTCCCCCCCAGCAACCTTGAAAGAACACTGACCAAGCTCGTAGATCCATCCAAGGCTGTTACAGCTGTCATGTCTTTGCCTTAAAACAGCATTACTTTCAGCAGACCCAGTACAACTAAGCTCACTGGAAGCTCTACCTGAGAAGCCCACTGGATGTCTCTAAGCACTGATTTAGACTGACGTTTGAATCGGGTTATTCAGATTTCACTCTGGATCTCTACATTTACCTTGCATGTTTACTGGGCTACTTTAATTAGTAAGATTTATGTTGACTTAAAGTGTGCGAGACTAACAAAATGTTAATAACTATGTAAAATATTTCACTTTTGCTAACTGATTAACCTTAGTTGACTACACCACAAAGTCAACATATTTGTTAGGGGGGACTAATTCATATTTATTTGAATTCACATTTATTTATTTTAGAAATGGTCAAGGCTGAAAGCCATGGTTAATTCATTGTGGCTGTATTCTCTCTTGGGATAAGCAGTTTTGTATAGGATGACTATTTTTAGAGTAGAACTTGAAGATTACTAAGTTGGTCAAATAGCTAAAAAATAGCCATTGGTCAATTGAAATTGAGGTAAACTTCTTTCACTGCTACCTATAGCTAACATAGAATGTTTTAGCTGTTGGTGGTAGCTGGAGTGTTGATTATTACACGCCCCTCTGAAACACAGGGAACCTCAGTTAAAAAACAAACAAAAAAAAACCCTGAAAATTATGGTTGCCCTGTTTAATTATAGTGTATGGCATCTAACTGGTGTTCCAGTTCAGGTCCCACGTTCCAGTGGCTATTGAAGGTAAATAACCATAGGTTTATAAATACTGGTGCATGTGTCAGTGAGTTGGCTGCTCATGGGGATGTTTTCCAGCCCTGGATGATTGGCAAGATCTAATGTCTCCTCATTCTATTTCAAGCCATGATGCTAGTTTGGGGAGGCAATCACACTGAGATAGTTTTACACCATATGCTGAAGTGAAATGACTGCGCTTCATCATCTCTTCCTGTTCTACGCTATCCTCAAAGACCACATATGCACTGTGGGACAGTCTCGTCCTTATTATTTATTTTTTTTATTCGAAAACAATTGCGCGGCTTCATGGCGCCTAGACATTGGATCCAATTGTACATTTTCAACTGGTGGCCAAACACTGCCACCTGCTGTCCATTTAATAGAGAACGATTAGCTGGGTCTATTTTGTAACCATGGTGATCACCGTCCTGCTGCACTATAACAGTGAAGGTCAAAACATTTCAGATGGAAAGATTTCGATGAAATATTTGAAGAAGCTGTGGAACTGAAGCATGTAATTCAAACGTCAGGGTTACCAAGTCTCACGTATCTGGGGTGACAGTCACGCTTTCAGACCCTCATACAAGATATCTTACGGCAAACCTATATTATTCCATTGTAAACCTAAATTTAGCCACACCAAAAGATTTGGGGCAGTTTGCAAACCCTACAGACTATTTACAAGGTAATAAACTCTTACATATTTGCATTTTCTTTCTGAAATTACCTGAATAAGAAAAAGGCGACTTTCGTATGTATTTAAGTAGACCAATACAATTTCCCTAGAGAGCATACAGCTATAATTTAAATCTTAAATAATAAAAGTTTTAATATATATTTTAAAAGTTAAATAGCCTACTGTGCCGGCCGTTTAATTAAAAAGAAAAGTAGTGCGTTTCCGTATTTAGTTTCTCTTATTTAGAGTAAGGGAATTGCGCTTTTGGTACGTTTCATTTACGTCGATTATTTTGATTTTCATATCTTAATTTCAGTATTTATAAGGAGTATGTTAAGCATAATGTGTGTGCATTTTGGGGGTGGGGTGTCGCCAGTGTAAAAGTCTTCTGTTGTAAAGGCAACTAACATATATGCTTTGAATTTTTATTTACGTTTATTGTGAATTTCCAGCTGGAGGTGAGAGGGCAGGTTTTGTTAGTAAAGCTGTAGTCTTGCAATGATCCTTACTGCAGAACTTAAGCGCAGTTTTCTCATTTTCCTCTTCATTGTCTAAAATAAACCAAAATGTAGGCCTGAAAAAGAAGTTGTAGCTCTTGCAGAAGTTCAACTTGCTGTGCCTTAACACATTTACTAAGCCCTGAAGTGTAATACTTGTGTATTGCTACAGTAGTGTAGACGAATGTGGGATAAAGACGCTGCAGGCAGTGCATTTATGTCAGTGCACTGGGGCTGAGCAGAGCACTCCTCCATTGCTTCGTCCTCACGGCTTCGGTTAACCCTTTCCATTAAATGCAGTGAAATTGCTTACTCCCGGGTTTCAGTAATGCTTAAGGCAGGCTTTGACTGTAAATCCTTACTTTCAGAAAGGCAATAGTACCGATTACTGTGGGGTGGAAAACACGGAGCAAACAGATTTCTACCTGATGTTAAGGGATTACGAAAGAAAGACAGCTCTCATGCACCCGTGTGTCTTTTAAAGCTTTCATTTATAAGTGTGGGCTGCTTTCTGAAGTGTTTTGCGGGATGGGCGATGGGGCATGGTAGAAATTATTTTTTGCTGTTAGCATGTTACGTAAGTGATTATTTATAAGGTTACAAGCCTCGAATTTCCCGTTTAATAATAATTTAGTGCAAGTGAGGGGAAGCGGTTTTCCCGATCAGGAAAGACATTTTCCGCTGCTACGGGCGCAGGCACCGGTCATTCATTTTACATTTTACACGCGATGTCTGCGGGACGCGATCCATCTGAAGTAATGGCAATTGGTACAAAACGACTGTAAAACGAAACCCGGCCCTTATTCCTCAAACTTAAGTTTTTCCATAGAGATTTCCCTCACGGGACGTATTTACGTGGCGCTCCGTTATTACGGCGATTTCCTCGGTGGAAAGATACCGGCTGACTGTAAAGGAAAAACGGAAACACATCTGTTGTAATTAGTCACGCAAACTGATGACACAAAAAAGCACCAAGCGTCTCAGCCACTTAGAATATAGTACGCAAGACCGGCTTAGAGTCCCCGGCAGTTCATACATCTCACTGTTTATTATACACGCATGTAAAAAAGGACAGTCTGCCAGTGAATGTTGCGAATGCCTTACATGAGGTTTTCCCTTCTTTTCTTTAGGATTTTATTTTCTTTTCTTGTTTAATTTCCAGACTGACGCACATCACTCGATGTCGCGCTGGTCTCCCAGCTTAGTCGATTTAATCCATTTTCTGATGGATCTCTTCTGAAGTGCAATTGTATACCTACATAAACATATCTTTTCATGAACACTGTACACTGCTGCTATATAGTGCTTGTTCTAATAATAAAAAAAAAAAACAATTCAGCAGGTTGTCTTTGTTATGAAACTATAAACATACAAAACATCTGCATATGCCATAATATACTAATATAATTACAATTTATTTATTGAGCAGAAGCTTTTACCCAAAGCAATGGGTAAAATGACATGATCAGACAGTTCCTGAAACAATTGGGGGTTAAAGGCCTCAGTTAAGGGCCCAACAGCGAAAGCACTGCGCTGACTCTGGGATTTGATCCTGCGACTGGCAGGGATGCCTTCCAGCATGTCCTCCCTAGATCCTCTCCTTTTACAGGGGACAAACCTGCCACACCTTCCACAATGAACTAGGATTGCAGTCCTGAAGAACCAGTCAAACTGGTTTGCCAAGGAACTTTGCTTGAATAGTCTGAGGTGCTGACCATCTGGTTGTTTGTTGTACCCTGTTGTAGTCCCCCATCTACAGAACCCTAGTGTGAGATTGTCCAGTTAGTTGTGAGTTTTGTCTCCTGGTTATTGCCAGTTTTTCTGTCCCTGGGCTGATTTTCCTGCCCTGCCTACTGTCTGTGCCGTGCCTGATCTCTGCCTGCTCCTGGATCCTGACTTGGTCCATCAGTTCAACTTTCGTCTATTTTTACCCAGCCGGTTTCTGAAACCTGGACTGTTAGACCATCACCAGAGTCGACACCATCTCCAACGCTTTAGGGCTACACCGTAACAGCTGACCTTCACTGATGAGTTGACTTAAATAGGCCTAGTAAAACTAGGTGAATTAATTCTGCCAAGGTGAGCAATAAATGCAAGACAATGACCAACTACACAACTTTATATTTTAATGTTCTCCTTCAAATGTCACATATTCTACATACTTCCAGTTAGGATTTGGAGCTACAAGCTTTTCAGCTAATTTACACCAAATCATTATGCACAACATGATTAAATGTAATAGTGTACCACGGCTTTCAGGAAGCAGGTGTAGGCATGCGGTTGACAGGCAGGCATCTGACTGATTACCGAAAAGCAGAATACATGAAGTGTCACTGGGACACGTCAACATCCTGACTCTTCCGAAGACAGTATGGCAACAGAACACACAGCAGGGGTCTCTCTGACTCTTAAACACCAGTGCCCCTTGGTTCCGTGTTCATACTCAGGAGCAAACTAGTTCTGAGTCTGTAAAATTAGTAAGACAATCTCTCAGACCTGAGTGCATATTTAATCGCCATCATAAATGATAAATTGGGTGGGTGGGTATGTGTGTCTCGAAATGAATACCTTACACAACACTCGAGGGGTTTTTACTGTTAAATATAGCAAGCCTAATAAAAACACACCCCTAAATCAAACTCATACACAGGAACACAGGTATCCGTCGACTTATGTTCTCATTTGGGACTGGGACCACAGAAGTCAATTTGGGTATATCTCAGTAGTTATAGGAGAGAGACAAGACATTAAGTACAGCACAGTAATGTACACACAGTACAGCAAATGATAATGTAAATATAAAATCACAACACTTTATAATAAAGAGAGAGATTGCACTTAAATTACAGGTAAAAATCAAGTGCTGATTGCCCTATGAAATTAAAAGATGCATGTGGTAGCAAACAGTAGGAGCTGACAAAGATTTTATTGTACAGTACATTGTCTTTTTATGTAACAAAATAGCACAGTACAGGCACTGTATCTTTATATCTGCTTGCTGTAGCTCTCCATTACATTTACATTACTATGTGCATATGTATTACAAGTTAGATATGGGCAGTGGGTCATTAAACGGCTAGCAGGGCTGCCCATTGTCCTGCGCCTGTTACACTAAGTGATACACCCACTAACGGCCTACTACACCCGCTATCGGCCTACTACACCCGCTAACGGCCTACTACACCCGCTAACGCCCTACTACACCCGCTAACGGCCTACTACACCCACTAACGCCCTACTACACCCGCTTTCAGGCATCTCTCCATCAGTGTATATTATTTACTATGGACCTCGGACGTAAACGTGATCAGACGGGACACGATAGGATGGAAGTCGACGGATACCTATATTGAATAAAGAGTATGAAATACTAAGAAAACTCTGGGTTAAAACTGACATTTCACAGAAAACTCTTAAAACAAAGGACACAGATTATTGCTTAACTCCACTAGCCAGTTTTTGCCATCGTTGTCTGAATTGCTTTGGAAAGCTTCGTGGAACCAAAACATTATTGGGTTTCTGTGCTATTACCCATATATGACCTCGGTATAGCTGTTCCTGTAAGCTTATTACTTTTTAAAGACTCACTGCAAACATGTTGCTATGGGAAACAAGTTCAGCTGTAACATACAGAACTCAGGTATAGGGGAATTTGATGCTGCGCCTAATATTAGAAATTGCCTAACATTTGGTGAGTTTTAATTACTGCTTCAAGGAAAACAGGTCACACAGACATTTACTCATCTGTCTCTGGTAAGATCAGGTGAAGTTTTACACTGACAACTTTCATGCTGCTTAACAACAGGACATGGAAAAGTCTGATTAAATGTACACTTATAGGCTTATGAGGGTCCTGAAACAGGTTTCCAAATACAAACTGGTTCACAAATCAGTATTCTGAAGGACATGATTATGATAATTACTTGGAAGATTGATGGATATTGGTACTGGTTTTGAAAGTAGTTTAACATGGGAAGGACACATGAAATAAAATCTAGATGTTGGTATTTCATTAAAAGCTTTGTATTACATTTGAACATTACCAAACAGCAACTTAAAGGCCAAACGAAGCAAACATTTCACGTAGGAAGGTATGTCTCATAATTATTAGCCTGTAGGACCGCTAGACTTCCAAAGGCTGTAGTGTAACTGAAGTCAAATGTAAAGAATCTGAGGGAACTTAAAAATATTGATTTATTCAACATTACATGAATAAAATTTAAATACTAAAATACATCATTTTGGATGCTGTAAGGATATAAAAAAAAAATTAACTTCATGAAGGGTGCCATGTTTTTAAATTAAACTACAGATAACTCCCAGATAGTGCTGAACTCCAGAAAATGTTTAAAAAAAAAAAAAACATAGGACATTTTTGAGAAATTAAAATGTAAATTGTCGCTAATTATTTTGTATTTGGTTTTCAAAATTGTGTTTCGAGGGATGGAGGCATTTAGTCACACAGTGACCGCTGATGATGGTCATCCAAAGGCGGGTCTAAAGTGACGTTGTGTCAGAAGCAGACCGTGAGGACAGGTCGAGCGAACGCGACCGTGAACACGTGGCAAAGCTCCACCCCTGAGGTCACTTGGCGGAGGCCACCACCTTCAGGTACTGCAGAGCGCTGTGCGCCGCGTCGTTGTGGGCGTTACTGCAGGAGATCCCCGTGCCATGGCACACGGCGATGGGCGCGGTGGAGAGTTCCACCAGGCACTGGTAATGCCCGTTCACCGTCAGCTCGCCTGTCACACAAACCAGACGTGTTCAACTAGCTCGACAAGAAAAACGCTATACCAACAATGCAAAGGTCGTAGGTTCAAATCCCAGGGATATCACGTAATCTGTAACCCATCCCTCTACGATAAGTCACTTTAGATAAAAGCATCAGATGTTAAAACACCATGGCCTGGTCCACAGAGAAGCCAGCAGTGAAAGCTGTACGGACGACACGGCTGGGTCGAAGGAAAAAAAATAATAATTAAATTATATATATATATATATATATTAGTTTCTTCTGGCCTTCAAACTATAAATATGTTCAGCAGAGACTTTTTATCTAAAGCAAAGTACAACTGAGAAGGCAGGTCCCAGGAGGAATGGGGGTTAAGGGCCTTGCTGAAGGGCCTGACTTCGAAATCTTTCTGCCAAGCCTGGGATGTGAGCCAGTGACCTTCTGATCACTAGCACAACGTCCTAACCCACCAAGTCACCCCCCCCCCAAAAAAAAAGAAACAAAAAACAATTTACAAACCAGAGGGAGAACTCACCAATGTCAAAGTATGTGACCTCAAATCCCTGCTCCTCAGCCAGTTCCAGCATCTTCTGCACATAGTCAGTGTTGTGGACACTGAGGGGACTTCTTCGCAGCACGGAGATTTTCTCTCCCGACGAGTTACGCAGACTATCCAGCCAGACACTGGGCTTAGCCTGAAGAGCAAGTGGCGACACACGTGGGTATAAATGCCAAACGCTGCTCCATACATTCTCCTCTTCTCACTCCGCTATAGCCTTCGTTTCGGTGACGCATGTGGTCACATGACTGCTCTACCCACCCAGCGCGTCTCGGGGTGGCCAGAGAGGTTTCGGAGTCTTGCTCTCATTTTTTCAGCGGCGGCTTTTTTTGCAAGCTTTTTGGAGTTTCCGCTTCCTGCGGGGAGACGTGCCTCTTAAAATAGCAACAACTGAAACAGATCCATCATTTAACACATTTTATTCTGAAATCTCAATCATCACTATGACAAATATCACGCTGCAGGGAATCCTGAAGACATAGAGAGATGTCAGGATGTCACCAGGAGTCAACATCAATTTGAAAGCACCTAATAATGATTCTGAACCGATTCGTCACACGACTTAGATTTGACCTTGAGATCTCAGTACCCACTGAGATACCTAAAAGCACAGATATTTGCATTTAAATTTAGTCTTTCAGCGAACACTTTGCTCCAAAGCAACTTAAAACACTTTTTTTTCAGCTGGAAACTTCAGTGAAACACTTCAGCTGTTTAGTCAGCTCCTAGGGATCCAGTGGGAACATTTTCAAATTCGACGAACCAACTACATATTGTTTTGTTGTGTTTTACATGAAAATGAAATTATTCAGTGTAAACTGTATCACAAGGATCGCTTTCAGCAGGAGTAACAGAATTACTCCCCAGCTGTAGCTAGTGTTGATTCAACGAGCAACTCTACAAAAATATCTTCCATATTCATATATCCAGCACATTGTCACAGTGAGTCTTTAGCCTGAGTGTTTGTGACAGGGGTCACCATGCACTCTTAGGGAAAAAAAAGGGTAAAAATTTGTACCTTTACTTGTTACTGGGGCTGAACCCTTGTAATTGTACCCTTTAAGGTACAGAAATGGACTCTGAGGAACATCCCAAAGGGACAAACTGCATTAATGTACCATCAATGATACAAAAATGTTCATCAGAGTCCATTTCTGTACCATAAAAGGTACAATTACCTACAGGTAAGGGTACAATTGGCAGAGCCTCGAGGGTACAGCTTTGGGGACAAGCAAAGGTACACATTTTTACCCTTTTTCTGAGAGTGTGGTGGGACAAAACATCATAACCTGTCACATAATGGGCAATTTAGATACTGCAATTCACAAAGTCACATGTTCTTGGAGTGTGGAAGGATGCCACAGTCCCTGGAGGAAAACGTTTACAAGCAAGCAGAATGTGGAATGGACCACATACCAGTCTCTGTGAAGGACTCCATTCTGCAAGTCACAGTGAACTCCTTTTTGTGAGGTGGTCCTGTCTCCTTAGAAAAAGTATACTCAGGCCGACGCCACCCGTTCTGTAATGCAAGCTCCTGTTGAAGCAGAGCGAGCATGATGTCAGACTCAACTTCCCCAAATGACCAGTTCTTGAAGAGTATTTCACACTCACGTCAGAATAAGTGGGTTGAACACGACCCCACGCCTTTGTACTACACCGTCACCGTTCCATACAATAAACAGTTTAAATATCCTTTTACATGCTTGTTACACCACGGTAAACAAAAAAATAAGTAACGTCATAAAATATGCATATGCTGTACCTGCAGGATCCCAATGGGGTTGGATTGCTCGTTTTGCTCAACTTCTGGCACATTATCTTCTGTCTTCACTAACAGGAGGCTTTAGAGACGGAGAAACGGACATTCAGCGGTTTAAATCTACGAACCGCTTCAAAAAGACGATGCGACTCACTTGATGGCAGACTCGGACTGTAAGATGTTCAGGGCTTCCTCTGCAGCCTGGTGCTTCGCCGCTTTTTTGGTTGCGCCTTGACCTGCGGTGTGGAGACAGACAAGTTATGCCCTTTAAATTCAACAATTTTTAAAGACAAGTGCATGATTTTGCCTTCCAATCGTGCAAGCCAGCAGCATTCGGCCGTACTATTATTACTCTGCTGTACCATGAATCAACACTTTTAGTACCAGACGTAGGCAAGCACAAACCTTTGCAATTAACGTCTCCTATGGTCACGTTAAAAACGAAAGTCGGCTGGTGCGCTTCACCTTCTTCCTTTTCCAAAACATACACTGGGATCTTGCCGAGCTTTGTCCCATATTCATGCAGAATTTGAATAGGTGTCTTCCCAGGACATTCAGTCGGAGGAGGCTGCAGATTCACACTGTAGGCATGTTTAACAGTATCCTTTATAATTTGAAATTCAACAAATCAAGTACCAAATTTTGAGAGTGTGGACCCCAAATATACAATGTATCCATCCATCCATCCACATCAATGCTAAACCCATCAGTTAACTGACACACCGATTAATCGACTTCCTCCAACATCAAAGGAAACAAAACATTAAATCAATAACCCACCAACAACACTACTAATATCTTCATTGTGACAAGCTTTGTAAACTGTCTTTTAAAAGGCAAAGTGATGAGTAATTAAACTCAAGCAACCATAAGAATCCATTTGGTGCGCTTATAATAAACCCGCTAGCTGCTTCATTGCTTCTGCAGTCACATATCACATTTCATAAAATTAAAACGCAATTTAATTTGGTGTTAAAAGACATCGCAGAGTAAGACGTATGTGATCATTGATCGGGGACAAACCTGGATCCAATCTGGCAGTTCTTAGGAGCAGAAGATGGAAAGCTGTCTTTGGACATAACTCTCCCGAAAGCACTTGTAGTCCAAGCGGTTTTGTGCAAGAATTGAGTCAAGCGCTTAGCTTTTACAAGCTGGCGATTATATCCGGGCCTCTCTTATTTTTTCCGGGTTACAGGAGCGTCACAAGTACTGTGCGCGAAATTCAGTTTTCTTATTCAGAAAACGCTCTGCAAATCAGTTCAATGGCAAAACCTAACTGCAATGCTATGTAACAATTACGGAAAATATACTTAAACACTATAGAGAAAATAAATAACCAACGTAAAGATATAAGCAGTCATACTGATCACCCACTTTTAAATACGCCGAGTATAAATTAAGTTCATGTGACAAAGGTTGAGATTCTCACTTTTTCCTGTACTTATTTTTTATTATTATGAGAAATTGAAGAAGATCGTTTCGGAGCAATTAGTCTATTTAATAATCGAATCCCCAAGTCACATCAGGAAGGATGGAACTGGAATATATCGTACAAATACGGATACTAGATGTATAGATATGCTCTCATCCTTTGTTGTTACTGGGACTAAGAGGCATTGCTCTTCAGTGAGTGTGGGGAAGATAATGTGACACAACGAAAAGCAAAACCATCATTCCATAGCTTTACATCTTATTTAACGATCCTCCAGAAAAACAATTAGGAGGGTTTACATTACACACAATTAAACGACGAAATCCAGCCACATCACACCGAAATGCGATGGCCACAATTGCTTTGCTGTACCGGCTTATTTTTATTTTAGAAAAGTACATGCTGAAATCATGCCACATGAAGTGTAATCACTGTCCAATCACAGCTCTCTATCCAGCGGGGGGCGTGGTGGCGGAAACCGGTCTGGGACAGTCGCTAGATCTAATCGATGAGGTGACAGCCACGGTACCCCAGCTGTGCCCGGCTGCCTCACTTCAGAATGTTTATATAAATATATTTATATTTATAAATAAATAAATATTTAAGCAGGAAATATTCTCCCTACTCCAGCATGTAGAAAGTGACGCTGTGAGCGAGGATTTTATCATTTATAAAGTGGCTTCTGGAACACTTGCAGCAGGCGGTGGATGTAACTGGCCATGATTTCCAAGACACCAGAGTAGCTCTCATGTCTATTCTGCAGCAGTTTCAAACGCGTGTCCCCCGGCAAGGAAGTCAGTTCAAGATCCACATTCCTAGGCGGCATCATTCGATACCTCGTCGATTGTTTTTCCGCGTATGCCGAAGTCCTGTTTGCATTTCAAGGTGGTTAGAATCCCGCTCCATACTTTAGTACTGCTGGACCAATATAAGGTCTATTCACTACCATTCGTTTTACCTAACACACTACCACGTCACCAAATTAAAGATTTCCGTTTTCTGAAATAAAAATAAAAAGGCAAAAATACCGTACTAATCGAGGCAGTATGCCTCCTGACTGTAAACCTGACGCTGCACGGACATTTAAAAAAGAAAGCGAATTTTCTAAAAAATAAATTACCAAATTATTTGCACAAAATAACTTTCAAAGGATTCTAGTTACGGTTTCAGCAATTAGTTGAAAATAAAAACACAACGTGGTATTCAAATGGTTGTTTATTTTTTTAATCATAAAACAATCAGCAACTTCAGAAACGTAATTTCTAAATTAGTCTGATTATTACAACTAAAATGGTGGGAGTAAATAAAAGGAACACACCTAAAAAAATTAATAATCGCTTTAATTGCTTGCGTCTTAAACCAGAAGCTAATTTTATGTTCATATTAGACAATGCTGTATATATAAATAATTCTGTGGTTTTGCTCTGCATTCTGGGAGTTAAGTCAAGTCAGTAAACCAAACTGCAGTGGCTGAATGTCCACTACAAGATAACCCTAACGTTACTATTAACAAGGCGTACGTATCCCGTCGATGAAATTTCAGATAAACCATGAAATGGACTACTAAAAAAACTGAAAACTTAAGTATTTATGACATTGTGTGGGCAGTTTGGCTATTTACCCAATATGGGTAAGGATTGTCGTCTATAGGCCTAAATCTTTTCCACGTCCGTACCACATATTGTGCAACACACCCATACTTACAAAACGTATACACGGCGTCTTACTTTGTTCCACACAATTATTTCTGTCTTCGGTTTCATTGAGAAGAATGTGCAACACAAGAATCACTATACTGTCATTTGTTTGGAGTAATAATCCAAATAACTGCATTTATTTCTGTTTTATTGTGTTGCAATCCAGGGCAGAATTACATATGGATGATATTTCCTGTAGACAAATTTACTGCCCCTTTAAATTCCTTCAGCATCTGATGTATAGAAAGCGGCATCCAATTTTTTGCGAATTTTTCACGGGATCGTATATGCAGGTACGCCCAAAGCCAAACGCTGAAATAATCAATCAGATTAAACAAGGGAAGATCTATTATGACCTAAATGAAACTCCTCCACAGCAATCAACTTAAATCAAGCAAGTTCCAAAAGGTCTGAAAGGGTAACCGCCCATCCATCTTCCAGCTCTTTATGCTGTCAATGTTATTGGGCGATAGCATAACTTTAAAAAAAGATTCGCAACGTTTTTTGCAACAAGGGTGAAGTGAAACAGTTTTCCGTGCACAGTCTGTAAACATATTTATCACATAATATTGAGTAAAAACAACCATTATCGACAGTATAAAAACACGATATCGGCGAACTTCTCAGCTCAAAAGCATACTTTCCCCAGCCCCTCCCTCACAAAAAAATTGATTCAGCATTTTAATATTGGAATACAGCGCCTTTGTCCACGTAATGCTTTAAGATGTAATCGACGTAGTTTTTTTTCTAAATCCATTTACGATCTAGGAACATTTGGGAAACTATACAATAAAATTAAATGAGTAATACGTAATTATTTAATGTAATTAGAACAGTGTAACAATTTGAATTTTAAAAAACAGCATTCCTGACAATAGAAAAACACCCTCCAAAGGGTTAAGTAAAACCTCTAAATTTACCTTGGCAGCAGTTATCAAAAAGACTGTAAAAATGAATGGCCACTATATATAGACGAGAGATATGAGGGCTTTGTAGCATTCTTCAATTTAACTGAACTTCATTGACACCATTTTCTACTTCAACTCCTAGCTAATTAATCGTTAGTGTTGGTGCAGTCTAAATGACATCAGTGCATTAAGATGCGCGGAAGAAACCAGTAGGGGGCAGTGCGGTGACCCAATGAAATAGAAAAAGTCTCCCGATTGGCGGCAGGACGCGAGGTCATACTCTCAATGACACCTTACAACTGTCGCGGCCGCTGGTTCACACGGGACAGTCAGCAGGCAAACTAGGAGTTCATTTCATCTTGCTGCTCCACTTAGCCTGAGATGCACACCAGTCCCTCTGGTCTGTACTCATGGCTGAGTGCTCACAGGAGTCATTTCACTTTGCAATGGATTTCAGTTTTAGCCCTCGAATGGTGGAATCCCTCCCAGTGTCGCTCGATGGCAGTGCAGAGATGTGATAGGCCGCCGATCCAGAGTGGGAGGCTTTCTGCCAAGAACGGGCCAATTGGACACGAGGAGGGAGGAAGGGGGCGGGGTCTTCAGGCCTCCGTGTTCCCGTCGCCATTCTCCAGTGGCTGCAAGTGCTCCTTATCATGGAAGTCATCCTGGGGAGGGCGCACGCGATTGAAAAAGCCGAGCTGCAAGGGGAGGGAATGAGATTGAAGGTGACGGTGCCCCAGATGCCGTCTCATTCCCGTTGTCCCACCAACCGCTTGGTTACTGTGGATAAAACATACCTTGTACATGATGAAGATCAACAAAGCCAGCAGGAGGAGGCCAGCCAGCACGGCCAGAGTGATGACCCATCCCGGGACAGGGTGCTTATAGTCCGTCGTCACCCAGATCACCGCTGTGTTCACCTAGAAACAGCCCGAAAATGTCATCAGAAGGCTGCACGATCCCAGCCCAGCAGGGGGCACTGTTCCAGACCATGGCATCCCATGTCAGAGGGAGAGCACTCACCACCGTGGAGTTCGACGGAAACTCGATCTCCAGATTTTTGTAGGGCATTTCAATGACGCTGAAGGAGCCCGTGGACCTCACAACGTAGGACCGGTTCTGGTTCTCGCCCTACAGATCGGATCAAGCACTACTGAGCTTCCTCATCTGCTGCAAAGTCTATCCCTGCATGTAAGTGGTTGGCACGCAGGGTCTGTGTGTGGCAAGGGGGCTAGGAGAACCTCACCTTGAGGAAGGTGGCCACGCCCAGCCGGGAGCGGATGAAAAGGATGGCACCCTTGCCTCTCTCCAGACGGCCCACCTGGCACTTGATGTGCAGACACTCAGCTCTCACACAGTCCTGAGAGATAGACACACAAATACACAAACACAGGAAGGAAGACAAAGACATGATTGTTTATTTTGCGTCTCAGTTATTCAGGTAGGCCTTTCTGGATGATTCTCCTCACCACCCAGCAAGAGCATGAATTCAGTCATGGGAATGGAGACAGAACTTATCCCACCCACTACTTGAACATCGCTCCCCAAACTCCTATAAGAAAACCCCAATGACATCATTTCCCAGGGTGCCCTGTGCGGTTGCCAAGGCATCAGAGAGCTTGGTAATACATTCTTAATACTTTTTTCTCCCATGTACACATGTATGTACCATTACTGCATTTCTGAAATTTCACAAATTCCAATGAGAAAGAAGCAGTGGATATTGCTGCTGTATTCATTAAGATCCAGGGTATCCAGAGATTCTGCAAGGTGGTGTTTAAGAGTTTTTGGCCTGCATCCTTTCTATTCCCAATAATAAAAAAGGAAAATTCTGATTGGTTGGCACGTGGCCAAACTTTGAGGTAAGCCAAGCTCATCATGGGATAGGCCAGGCACACCCTGCACCTCATGTAATTGGGCCATAAGTGTGAGGCAGGTCTGACAGGACGGCTGTACCAGAGTGTCCAGGTTTCCATCCATCTTCTTGCCCTCCACGTCTCGCCGGGAACGCCTCCCCTCGTCACTACGCTCCCCGCCGACGACGGATGCGTTTCTCCTCGACAGGGTGGGATTCTGGGAAATGGAGGCAGTGGGACCTGGGTGAGCCAACGGAGCCGGGGTAGGTG